TCTGCTGCTTGCCATACAGTGAAGGATGCTGTATGTCCTCTTCAGAGCTGAAGCGGGTTTTGTTGTGGAATGAGGAAGGGGCACTATCTTGTCCTTCACCTCATGAGCAAAATGTCTTGGGCCAGCCTTGTTGGGTCCAGTAAATAACAAGTCACATGTAGAAGGGCCGAGGCGATAAGGTGGCAGGTCCCAGCAGTGTCCAGAGTCTAGAAGGCATCATTCTGTGGACAAAGTGTGGGAGTGAAGACCATGCAGTGAGACCCAGGGAACAGAGCTTACTGCAGGCAGATGGTAACGTCAACAAACTAGAAGGTCTCTGATCAGCAGGACCATGGGAAAAAGGCCGGGGTCCATGTGCAAGTTGAATTACGCCCGTGCACTGACAATTGGACAGGATTTAGCTGGAAGTGCAAGAAGGACCTAGGAGAAACAGAGGTAGCCAGTTCATCTTTATAGTCCCAGGTACAAACGCTTAAAGCTGTTCCTGAGCACAAACTATAGACCAAGGGCCAAATCCCATTTCAGGGAAACTCTTGGGGGCCATTTTCCAGCAGGAGGTAGGCCCAAAGACAATGGGGCAGGGTCAACCCCTCCAAATATCAGAACGTTTTAGCTTACTACTAGTATGCTGGGGAATACTTCAAAATTTTAAATGCGGGGGGGGGGGGGACTGTACAAAAGTAGGAAAGCCACCAACTGACTGGTGGTTGGTGGAAAGGCATGTGGTCTTTTGGGAACCACAGAAGGCCAGTTTGGATTTGGCCTGCTGGCCTGGGGTTCTGCATTCTTGCTCTAGGGTATACATGTTGACCAGTTCACATGATCAGCAACCCCTAGCATCACTTAAATAGGCCACAGTGGGTTGTAGTGCATGCCAGCTGCTTCTTGAATACTGATGCTGCAGCAGGCAGTTGCTGTGGTTTGTCATGACATGTGAACTGAGAGCAGCTCGTCGCCATGCCTAACAAGCCATCAAGGGTTGGAGTACTATTGTTTCAGTTATGCATGCCTTTAAGCCATGGTGGGTGGTGGTGATCGTCCAAACTGGCCCATTTTGTCAGCTCATTTTTTTCAAAAGGCAAAGAGGAGACAGCCAAATTAAACTCCCCAAAGAACAATGGCAATGAACTAATTAAACTCCCTAAATGGCAACACAGTCCCAGAGGTCAAGATCTCCTCCAAGGATCTGCCCCTTGCCCTCACTCCAGCGTGCACTACGCATAGACCTACTCATGTGTATCGTCATGTGTGTTTTATATTGTGTCATGTTGCAATAAATTTTAATGCTGTGAGCCACCCAGAGTGCCTATGACTTGTGGGCAGGAAACAAATTGAATAAATAAATTAAATAAATAAATGGAGCTTTAAAAATCAGGTCTATAGGGGGGCTGAAGCCCATTTAATACAGTCCCTTGCATCCAGACAGACCAAATTATGATTAAATTATTAAACCAGATTAGTTCATTCCCTTTTCATACAGACCTATAAGCAGAGTACAGAAGGAACTGAAGGCCAAGACAAACAAGCTCACGCAGAGCAACCAGCCTCCCACAAGTGGATGCCTTCCAAATGATTTGGACCACAACTCCCAGCATTCCTGGCCAACACACTGACTGGGGCTGATGCAAGTTGAAGGCCAAAGCACCTGGAGGACCACAAGACCCAGGTGAAGGCAAATCCCTTTCCTGAGGTTGGCACCTTATTTACTTCACAGAGCCTGTGTGCCATTTAAAGCCTGCATGAGCAAGCATTCAACAGGTGAAGAGAAAACCTTGCCAGATTACAGCTTCTGACAGTGTTGGAGGAACATAATTCCTGTCAGGAAGGGAGGAAGGAAGACTATTTTGCATAAATGTCATTTCCTTCAAAGCCCAAGTATTTGTAGGTCAAGCCCTACTGCTAGATAAAGTGAGGCACCCCTCAGGCAGCTGATTTTAAGTAAGGGCAACAGTTTGTTGCATTTTGAAAATTGTTATTGTATTTTTACTGGAGGGAAGGGGGACAATATTTCTATTTTTTGTCGGCAGAATCAGGGCTTTTTTTGTCATAGAACGCACCGGAACAGTGTTCCAGCGCCTTTTTTTGATGGATTTTTCCAACGGATTTTTCCAAGTGATTTTGAATCACTTCAAAATCGACCTGTCGGACGTAGCATGTCGGCGGCAAAAATCATTATCATAGTGCCTGCGGGCTGCTTGTGTGTCGGCGCTGATTGTGAGGGGGCTGCTTGGCTTGGGACGCTGCTCAGCTTGGGACGCTGCTTGGCTTGGGATTGGTCGTGTGGTCGCGAGCTGAGTGCTTACTGCGGGTGGCGACCATTATGTTTATGTGTGTGTAGAGTGACTGGCTATGTGCAAACGGTAAATAAGTTCTTTACTTCAAAAAAAGTTGGTGAATTGAAAATCTTTTTTAGTGTAAAAGTGTGACCCTAAGACGTGAGTTCCGGCACCTTTTTTTTTTTTTTTTTAACAAAAAAAACACTGGGCGAAACCAACATTATTTAAGGGGCCTTGTGCACCATGCACCTGGCCTGGGGATTGTAGAAAGACGTTAAAATGACTTCAATGGTTTGCGCACACCATGATCCTGCTGGAGGCTCTAGAGGAGCCCAGCCTGTGCCCTTCCCTGGTCACAGAGGCCTTCCAGGTGATGGCAGCTCCTCCAGACCCTGGTGGGCTGCAAATATAAAAGAGGCTGACAGCTCCAGAGAGTGCCCTGAAGTTACTCCTCGCACCAGCCTGGAGCACCCTGGGGCCTTATGAAACACATTTTTCAGGGAGCTCATTCCTGGTGAGGCCTGTGCTCCCTGCCCATTCTCTCCTTCCTGTCTGGCGTTCCTTTTGCACAGCCTCCGGGCCAGCATTATAAGCAGGGTGGGGATCTATCAGACAATACAAGATACCAATAGGGTGATTCATCACCACCCAGCCCATGCAGGGCAAAGCGGGCAACGGTGCAATCTGCCCCAGGAAGCGCTGGCTGTTGAGCTGATTAAAACATTCATAAATAAAATAAAGACACATCTTCTTACTTACTGCTGCCACCCAGAACTGATCCCAAATCCCATGTGCACTTGGCCCAGGCTGTAACATACTTGTCCACCTATTGCAGTTGTTGACCATTCTTATTCTCAACCAGCAGGTAGAAGAACCCAGTTGTCCATATCATGTATGTCTTGGAAAGAAGCAACCTATTTCCAGACAACTGTCATTGTCTCATTTATACACGGAAAGCTCCCCTTCTAATGTAAATTGTCCTTCTGTTCTTCTATTTTGGGAATTTTCAGGTTCTCCTTGATGCTACTCCTTTTCCCCTACTTAAGTGCCACAGTTTGTTGAGCAGAGTTAGAGACAGCCACTGCAGCACTGATCCAGCAACTATCCTGGACATTCAGTAGTACACTTCAGAATTTCCCAGAAAAGCAAGGAAGAGTCTTGTCCTGCAGCAAATAAAGCCTAACCAGTTAACTATGGCATAAGCCGTCATCGACTTTAGGGCCATTTCATCAGATGTTCCGAGTTGCAGGGGCTATGTAGACATGGTTGGGGTGGAGCAGGGTGGACTGATAATAGTGAGATCAGGGGAAAATGAAATGAAGAAAGTACAGGTGGTGAAATGTTAATACATTCTGCATTTCATTTCCCTCTGACTGCCCCGTTTACAATTTCCACACAGTCTCTTCAACAAACCATCTATAATCTTGGATGACACTTCATGTATCTGATGGTGAACTCTAGTCCATGAAAACCTATGCCATAAGCATCTGTTAGGCTTTTTAAAGTACCATAAGACTCTTATTTTTTTGGCAACACACTTAGCACAGCACAGCTGCTGTGAGACTTTATGAATGTAAGAAGAATCAAGCTGGATCAGACTAAGGTCCATTTAGCCCAGCGTTTAGGAGTCAACCACCACCTTACAGTACCCTAAAGGCAGGGCATGAATGCAACAGCACCTCCCACCGATGTTCCCAAACAACCTCATCACAAACTCCCTGCACCAATCAGCTCAGCATTCCATGCATGCTGGATTCATAAAAACAATTTGCATCTTGTGAAGGCTGCATATTCCCCTGCTGAGAGCATATGCAGACCTCATGGAGCTCCACTGCTGGAGACACTTCCTCCCAGAGGGCCCATTTCATGTGTGCTCGTCCCTGTGGCCCACTCTGCAGTTCGTGGATAAACCAAAGGGCCCACATGAGATAGCATGAGATGCCCTACAAAGGAAACACCCCATATTTAACCAAACACATCGTGTATCTCCAGCATTGCACCTGCAAATGCACACACACACACACACACTGCCATCTCCAATTTACTTTTATTTTTCACAATAATAAAATAACTTACCACCCATAGTGCATATGGCACTTGCATGATGGGATGCCAGAGACCTCTGCACCCCCACCTTTCAATCTCTCATTAGAAACATCTTGTTTTTAAACAACTCTGCATTTTAATTCTTTCCTTCCAAACAATAAATGTACTCATGGCAACCCAAGTGCGTCTTAGGACCATTTGACTTTGAACAGGGCAGCTTCAGCCCAAGTAAAAAGGAAAAAAAAAAGTAGGAAGATTTTGGTCTGTTGGGTTGTCTGTCCCCTGAGTGATCCCAGGGCGGGATTTGAAGGGCACGGCATCTCGAGTGAGCTTCTGCATGAGGTACCTGGAGAGGAGGTCCAAGGGCCTTAACATCACAGCTGAAGTTGCCAATGGCCGGAAGCAACTGGAGCTAATGTCGCAGACTCCAGCCAGCACCAGCCTGCTGGTACAGAGCTCTTTGGAGGGGCAAGGCCCACATTTATGTCTGTACAGCTGGGCTCCTCGGAGCCCAGTGCTTGTGCGCAGGTCAAAGGGGAGGCGTGGAAGGCCAGGGAAACAGGACACACTCCCATGCCCGACCGCCCCAACCATGCATCCTGCCGACGGAGGCCTCCATCCTGCCGTGCCGCAATGTCAGGTGGTGGCGTTTCAGGAGCACCTGGCGGGGCTGCAGCTTCACTTGCAGACGCTGACCCACTCCGTAAGCCGGCACTCCTCACAGGCCACGAAGCAGCACCAGTGGAACTTGCAGTTGCAGCGCTCGCTGCGCGTCTGCCGCAGGATGTTGTGCCCCCGCCCGCAGCACAGGCTCTCACAGTTGTCCATGCCCGGGCTGGTTTTGTTGCACAGGCGCCCCTGCGTCCCCATGGAGTCCAGGGCCGGTTCTTTCTCACAGAAGTCTGGCGATTTCTCAAAGTAGATCAGGTCGCTGACACCAGCCCGGCGCCGGTGGCGGCCGTGACCCAGCTCCATCTGCCCCGTATTCCTGTTGTGGGGCCGGATCAGCATGGCTCCATAGAAGCGCTCCTTGAGAAGGGAGCCCACCAGCCGGAACTCGGGGGTCACTTGCCAGCACGTCTTCAACTGGCAGCTCCCAGAGGTGCCGTGGCACTTGCATTTCCTCCGCATGTTCTCCATCACCACCTGCCAAGGGGACAAGTGGACAGCATTAATCGAAGTTGGCTAGCATCTTGCATCACCCGGCTGCCCTTGGAGCAGGCAGGGCAGAGGCCCCGTGCTTCTCTCAAGCTGTGTTTTCAACTTCCTCCTAGCAGGCCAGACCAATTGGCTTTGCCATCCCTTGGAATCAGCAAATAGCACTGCTGGAACAAACTGCTCCATGCATCCAGCCAAACCAAGCACTTACCAACAGCATTCAAGGTCAGGGTAGTGTGGTGATAAGTGTACTGGACTTGGGACCAGGGAGATCTGGGTTTTAGTCCCCACTTGCCCAGCCTAACCTTCATAGCCTAACCCGATTTCATAGGCTTGTTGTGAGGATAAAATGAACAGGGCAATGTAAGCTGCCTTGCAAGAGGAAAAAGCGCAGGGCATAAACGTGTTGCTGGTGTTCTCCAGTGGCTTGCCCTCATTGCTAGGCTAAAGAAGAGCCAGAAGAGAGCTCAAACGATGATCTGCCTCTGTGCCAGGTAGCCTATGTCTTGATTCACAGTAATAGCCCAGATTAGCAAGCACCACCAACTCCAGGTTTTCTCGGATCTTTGGTCAAAACACCTTCAGAAGGCCCCTGCCCAGAGCGAGTCTACCTTCTCACTGGTGACACAGCCATCGTCACCAGGTGTTCCTGTTCCTCTTCTTATTTCTCATCACTGCTACCCCTTCCCTGCTTGACAGGCAAAAAACTAGTGAGCAATTAGGCTGGGACATCTATTGCTTCTCCTCCTGCTCACCACCACTATTGTGCAGGCCAGAGTGAGAAGCAGGTGAACGAGAGGCTGAGCAAGGCTGAAAAGAAAAAGCAGCTCAGCGGAGGCTTTTGTCAGTGGGTCCCTGCATGGGTGTGGGCCCTCGACAAATGCTCAGCCATGCTTACCCTTGCTGCTAGCACTGAGTGTAAAGACTGTTGAGCCAAGAATGTATCCATATATGCGTAGCTCTGAATCTAGACTGGAAGAACACATAACCCAGGCATAACCCGGTTCTTCTGGAGCTGGGTTGACCTAGGACAATGTGCAAAGGGATATGGGCTAGGAATGTGACTGCATTAATGTACAACTGGATTTCAATAACAGGTCATTAATCGTCACTTTTGACAGGGATGGGAGGGGTCCTTGTCATGCACATAGGGCGGGCGATAGGTCTGAGTTGACCTGGCCCTTTCAGGTTATGATGGTGTTGACATGGCATGGCATGGCATGGCATGAGAGAGAACCAAGCCAAGCCCACCCATCAGTTCAGGGCAGGCTTCCCCCAACAGCCGTTTTCCCTCTGCGGGTGGTCCACCCAGCGGAGCCCTTGGATGCTGCCAAGGGGCGCTGCCAAGGGGCATCGCCCGTTCGGCACCAGTTCAATGTAAGTTCAGGCACTAGGCCCTTTGATGGGGGTGAGGGCAATTATTATAGCAAGCTATTGTTTTAATATGTGTTTTATTAGTGTACTGTTGCTCTTATTGTATTGTATTGTAAACTGCCAGAGAACCCTATGGGCTATGAGGTGCTAAATAAATGTAAAAGCAATAAATAAATATTTCTGCTTAAAATATGAAATAGCCTATGCTCAGAGTAACTCTTTACTTCTGGCAAACAGGGGTGGTGATGGTTATTGTTTCTGCTAACCTATCAGGAATGTAGAAGCAGTTGTAAAAGATGGAACAGGGCGGTGGAGAGGATAGAAGCGACATGCTAGTTCTGTGCTTTACAAGTGAAATAATGCACACAAATGTGTAAAGCCCCCACCCTAAGCATCGCCTGGAGTCTAGAATTGCCTGGTGACACCAAGATCAAGTTCCCTCACTTCATTCGCTTGGTCGACAGTCTACTTTCGATCACTTGCCTATTATTTACTGCCTATTAAAATATGCAGGATGAAATTAATCTTTATTGGAACGTGTTCAAGATTTTACAACAAACTGTTTAATTTCATCGTTCTAAGATGGGGTGTACCTTTTACTTGTATATTGCTGTAAACCCCCTGGAGAGCTTCAGCTGTGGGGTGGTATAGACATGAAATCAGTAATGATAGTTTCAAAGGAGCAGTGGCAGAGTGTGGTGAGCCACCCAACCGACAGGCAGGCAGGTTCCAACCAAGACAGGGGACTGCCTCCAGCGTGGGAAATCCCGTCTTCCTATATGGGATGTGGGATGGGCGGCAGAACAGTGTCTAACTAAAAATCCTGCCAAATGACAGAAAAATAGGTGCAGGGGGTTACAAAATGATTCAAAATGATAACAGTTTTACACCTTTGCAGAACTGGGTGCAATTTGCTGGAATGGTTTCTCCTTCTGAAGGGACTGAGTCTAGCAAGTTCCAGATGAATAGACCCAAGGGGTTTGTTCAGGATGCCCTTTACATTTTGAGGGCATCCCAAAGAGGATGCCGTCATCCTCCAAGTTTCCTGTGAGTCATCGTTGTAGAAATGGCAGCCTAATGGTCTCCCTAAGTAAGAAACATGAACACTCGTAGGATAGGCAAAGCAGTTCATATGGAAGGGGAGTCCTCAGATTCATTTCCCCTTCCTTCTCTCCCAGTATTTTTTGGGGGTAGTGGTGTGAAAACAGCACCATCATAGAAGTGCCTTTAGGCAAGAAGCTTGCAAAGTTTCAGAAGCTTAAGTGACAGGGCTAAAGAGTTATAATGATTAAAAACCAGTTTAAGGCTTTTATTTCACAGTGAAGGCTGGTGGCAAGGAAGAATTACCATCTCACAGTCTCAGCTTAACCATCTCATGAAGCACAGTGAATGGAGCCCCTGGTAAAATTAGAAGGGTTAGAAGTGGGATCTGCCAGCCACTCAACCCACCCTCCCTCCATCATGTCTGTCTGTCTATCTCCTAACAGCAATAAAGGGTAATGACACCTGGTTCTAGCTTGGCTTTGATTTTAAGGGCTTCTGACTGATGCCTGCTTCATCTTGGGAAGCACAGGAAACAGTCCAAAGAGGCCCAATTCTGCTTGTACTGCTTCCAAACCCTGATCTTTGGGTCAGATCAGAGGTGGAAACTCGGTCTCTACCTGCTGAATTTCTCTCTGCTCTGCAGCTGTTCAAGACTGTCAGGAAAACAGTGATAATCCTATCTATGTGTGTTCTTTGGACAAGGGATGTAAGTGAATACAAGACTTGGGAAACCAAGTTACAAACCTCTGCCAACTATGAAATCCATCATACCAGCCCTTAACAAGTCACCATCCCTCAGCTGACTGAAGCGCATAAAGACCATACATACTGTAAAGCATTTGATACATGGAATTTGCCACTGGGTTAAACTTGCAGCAGAATTTCTGCTCTGTCCACAAGCAAAAAGTATTCCTATGCATGTATGTGGGGTAGATGTTTAATGTGTGCAGATCCTGCAATTAAGGGAAGTGGGAATGAATGGGTGAATTGGGATTTTCCAGTCCTAAGAACTGAAATATCGGGCCCAAACAACTTTAGATTCATCAAACCATACTTAGTGACCAATGGGTACCTTCCAATGTACCAGGCTCTCGAGGAGAACTCTGCTCTTGCAATCCCAAACAGCCAGCAGAAGCAAGAGGCTTATCAAGCTTTGGAAAGGCCACCACCATACTATAGCTTCAACAGATTGCATTGCACTGGCAGGTCATAAGGTGCTCCTTCTGCCTATATTCAGGATGTTCATGTGTGCAGGTACATTAGATTGTTATTGTTATAAAAGGTACCTACACAAATGAACCTTTGCATATTCTGCACAGCTGGGTTGCAGGTGTTCCTTAGTCCAAGTGCAGTAGTGCTTTCTGTAGCCCATGTCATGTTTTCATGGGGATACAGCTTTCAGCATAACAGATTGAACTACCTGGTTCACATACATTCACCATAGAATCCCCAGCCACTGCCTCCACTTCTTAAACCAGACAACATTTGCAGCCATTTGCTTACTATGAGTTTGTTCCAATATACAGAAGTAATGTATCTTACATGGCTTTTGGACCATTGACGAGGGAATCCCCTACTTAGACTGCAGACTAAAGAATCACTCATTTGAATGCCCTTTCATGTCAAAGCAAAACCAAAAAAGCTCCTTCCCTGCACTCAGGAAGATGGCATTGTCTGGGGAAAAGCTTTTCAACCAGGCTTTCTCCAAAATGATAAGCTATGTCATCGGTGATTTCTGAAAGCTGATATTTCTCATTATGGCTCCCAGCATCACTTCTACTAGGTGCTCACTACTGCCAATACTGCAATGACATTGTTAATGCTTTATTCTGTGTTTGCATAGTTTTCAGGTCTTTTATCTAATACTAATCCTGTATGGGGTAGTTAATCACAGCAAACATGTGTTAGGGGAGGACACAATTGTACATGGCTTCAAGTTTGATGGGGCTTAGTGTAGGACTGCAACAGGTCACCTTCACCTTATACCCAACTCAGTGGAGATATCAAGGAGTGAAATCCAGTGAGATCCTTCTGCTGACAGAACTAGTTCCCTCACTGTGACTGGAAGGAAAGATTCTGGCAGACCCCAATGCATCCTCAGCTTCTGCTCCAGAAGGTTAGAGGAACCTTTGGAGCAGATTTTGATGGACTGTGCTAGGCTGCAGAGGTAAGAAAAGCAAGAGAAACTCCATTCATGCTACTACGGGTTCAGTTCAATAATTTAAAAAGTAGATTCACCATGCTTAGGAGCCAGATGCTCTGGAGATCCAAAGTTGTGATCAAAGAACAGAAAATGGTTAGAACCATTCCAATTTCCATGGGGACACCTGGGCAGTTAACCTGGCTGGACTGGATAGGCCTTTGGTCTAATCTAGCACGATCAGCACGCTGCTGCCCTTTGCCCTGCCATTGAGCTCTCCCAGTGCTGCCACCAGGCCAGCGGTCACAGATGTATCCCCTTCCCTAGCAAAGCTTCAGTGTGAATTGTAGTTGCCAAGCCAGCTCCTCTGTGCTCTCGGCAGAGAGACAAAGGGGCCAGGTGGGCACACGGCAGCGGCCTGCAGAGCACA